AAGTCTCTGCTAACAGCAGCTACCACAGTACACGGCTGCCCGAAGTCTCTGCTAACAGCAGCTACCACAGTACACGCCTGCTGTCTGTATAGTGTGGTGTGCCGTCCAGTGGTTTTCTCCTAGCCAACCTGTGTAGGGTTTCCAAGGCTGTAAATCTTTATGGGAGCAGAAGCCAACTGGTAGATTCAAACCACTGACCTTGCAGTTGGCTCTTCAGCTCGTAATCTACTGCACTACCAGGGCTTAGATAAAGTGTGTTGTTGTTGTTAGCTGTCACTGAGTCAGTTCTGACCCTGTAAAGGTTTCCAAGGTTGAATGGTCGACCTTGTAGTTCACAGTCCAGTGCTGATCCTACAGTGCCACACCAGGAGTCCTAGATACAGTGTAGTCGCCTCATTTTAGCACCCAGGACCTTCAGGATCTGTTGGGGTCATCCTCTGCAGGGTCACGCACCCTCTCCCACAGGAAGCACAGACCTTCCCAATGCTGCTCCTTTTGCCTGGAGTGCGTCCTCTTCCCATAGGCTCCTCCTGTGTTCTTTCCCACCCACCCCCCTCCTGCAGGTGAAGCCTCTCCGAGCCACTCCACCCACCCGTGCACATCTCATCCTGTGTGAAGTCCTGGAGGTGGGAACTGGGCAGCGAGCAGTGACGGAAATGTTCTCTCTCCCTTCCTAGGATAAAGTCCACATTCCTGGTGCAATCTACCTCTCAATCAAATTTGATTCTCAGTGCAATACAGAGGAAGGCTGTGACGAGCTGGCCATGTCCAGCAGCAGTGACTTTCAGCAGGACCGACACAGTTTCAGTGGGTCGCAACAGAAATGGAAAGATTTTGAGCTTCCAGGTAGTGGATATTTGGTTCTCTAGACTCTTAGCATTAACTAAACTTCGTATCGGGAAGGGAAATGATTGAAGGATTTCAAAATGCATTTGCCATATTTCATTGGAAGCATGTACATTGGCATTCCCTGCCCCTCCCATTTCCTGATCGGGTTCTGATCTTGTGTGATCCAGGAGATACTCTGTATTACCGATTTACCTCTGACATGAGCAACACCGAGTGGGGCTACAAATTCTCAGTGACGGCCGGCCACCTGGGGCGCTTCCAGACAGGTAAGTGCCCTGCTCTGCTGTGTGCGAGCTGCCTGCCGGGCAAGCGGGCAGGGTGGGTACCCTCCTTTCATCTTTTTTGAAATCAAAAGCTGAGGCTTTTCTTTAAGATTCAGCACGGCCATCTCACAGACTTACACCTCTCACTGGTGAACTGACATCGCTGGCTGGTTGTGAACTTAAATGGCCAGCGAGCAGAGTCATTCTGTCCAGGTCTAAAGAAGACTTGTTTCCTTAGCTATTGCCTGGGCTTTTTGTGTAGTGGAAGGACCTGGAAGTGTTGTTTCTATATTACTTTTTATCGCAGGCTTGATTTCTGACAAAATTTAAGTGATCACAATTGTTTCATTCTCTGTATTCAAACCTAAGCAGTTTGTAAAATTTCTACATCTTAGTGCACACATTTTGTTAGATTTTAATTTTTTTTTGGCAATCTGTGTTTTGTTTTTTGGTGTGGGGGCTGGCCAGGATTTGAGATTTTGAAGCAGATGCTATCAGAAGAAAGAGTTGTGCCTCATCTTCCGTTGGCCAAAATCTGGGAGTGGCTGGTGAGTGTCGCCTGTCGCCAGACTGGACATCAGCGGTTAAAAGCCATCCACTTGCTTCTGAAGATTGTGCGATGCTGTTCCCACAGGTAAGCTGGAAGCTGGTCAGGCCTTCTGTTGGCTTACTTATTCGACACCCATTAGAATTGAGCACTTTCTGTCTGTGGGCTGGGCCTCATGGGGAAGACAGCCATGGAGACAATTCCTGGCTGCCATGAGTCTCTTCCCACTTTTCTTTTGATTTTTCTGTTTCTTTTTATGGATTTAGAGAAGCTCGTTGTCCACTTGGGACGAGTCTTATATCAGGAATGTCTTCGTTCTCTCTTCTCGTTCCTGAAAGAAGCATCTCTTAATGTCTGCTAAATTCATGAGTGACTTCCTTTATGGTAGAGCTTTTCACGGCCTCACCCCAAGGTGCTGGAGATACTCCTGTTATCGTCTAGAACCGTATTGTCTTCCCTTCCACATGGACATCTGCTGTCCTGGGTTTTAGCATGTGATATGAGGTGTATGGGTCAGGATATGTTTTTTCCATGTGGGCCTCCAGTTGACTCTAAAGACCTTTCTTTCCTTCCCTTTGACAGCACAGGGCCACCGTATACAGAGAAGTCTGTTTCTGGACTCTTGTTCCATTGTTGTGTTTAGTTATCCTTGTACCGTTGCCACAGTGCCTTAAACTGCAGCTTTATAATAAACTTGCCTACCTAGTTCTATAAACCCTCCAGCTTTTAGTGCTTCATCTTCAGGGGTAGTAGGTGTTCTTGACCCTTTGAGTTTACATATGAATTTTTGACTTAGCTTGTATATATTTATACACTTTAGCACACACACGTGCGCTTGCACACAGCTTGTCTGATGAGAGCTGACTGATTTCCTGGGTTATCATGAGGAGGATGGAGATGGAGGTCTTCAGAGCAGAGAGCCCTGCAGTGTACACTGGGGTTAGGTCGTATTCGATCTTAGTAATACTTTGTCATTTCCTGTCTAGAGGATTTGCAAAATGTTTTGTTAGATTTCTTCCTAAATATTGACTGGTTTTCATGCTATTGGTGACTTCATGTATGCCAGTAGAACTATTCTCCATAGGGTTGTCAGTGGCTGACTTTTGGGAATTAGATTACCAGGCCTTTTTTCTGAGGGACCTCTGAGAGGTAAATCAAACCTCCAGTCTTCTGGTTAGTAGCCAAGTGCATTAACCATTTACAACATCCAGGGGTGCAATATAATTGATTTAGATATATCACCCTTAATATAGGAGTCCTGCTGTGGCGCTGTGGGTTAATGCACCAGACTGCAAAGCTGTTTGAAGTGCAAGGTCAGAGGTTCAAGCTCACCAGTTGCTCCTCGGAAACCCTATACAGGGTCGCTATGGGTCAAAATTGACTTGATGGCACTTCACAACAACAACATCACCCTTAATATACTGACCTTCTGTTTATATGTAGATTATTCGATGCAGTCATCTCACCTGGGAATAGTAATACAATATTAATAATAGGACAATATCTGTTTGCATTTGGTTTTGTACTGCCAGGATAAGAGACATAGTTGTCCTTTTTCTTATCTCAGGGGAAAGTCTTGGTCATTGTTAGTCATCATCTACACACTTAGTCCCCCTTCCCCTCAGTGAGCCTTACCTGTAAGAGTTCACTGTCACTATTTCCTAAGACACACTGATGGAGAGAAAGCTGACAGCATTCAGAGTAACAGGTTGTCTGTAATACGGAGCTGTTATCTGAAACAGAAGACTCTCCAGGTCAAGAAGGAGAAAGTGATGGTTTGGTCCACAGGTTGGCGGAAGGCAGGGAGAGAGGACAAACTGGTGTGATCACTGAACCCGCCATTTCTGCCCACAAACACCAGGGGTCACTAGCTTGACACTTAACTCTGCTGCCTTGAGAGAGACTTCCAGGTTGCAGGATGTATAGGAAACCTGTAACATCTCCACTGTCTTCAGGCCAATGAGCCCTTCTGGATTTTTCGTGGGTGCATCTGACACAGCTTGCCCAGCCATCAGCAACCTTCCTTCCAGTCAGTTAGACATGAGAGCGGAGTGGGCGGGCACCCAAGATGCCTTTTAGCCTTGGGGGGTTCACATTCGCTCACGTTGGATTGTCTAGAGAAGTGTGCTGGCTTCATGGTTTCATGCAGAGCCCAGACAAAGGGCAGAGGGGAAAAGCCCCTCGCCAAGGCTGGCTGGCAGGACAGCAGGACACTGGAAGTGCGTTCCTGGAGAGCCAGCTATGAAGCTGCCCCTAAGTCAAACCACAGTCTCCCCTGTGTACTCTCTGGAGATTTGTTCCCCCAGGGAAAGCAGTTGACTCCAAGATTACATTTAGATGTGTAGAATGCTTTTTCAAGTCATTTGCTAAAGGAAAAAGTCAGAATCTAAGATTATATGTGTAAAACTGTGATGTAAGTTCCTGAAAATCATCTCTGAAGGTGGAACGGGAGTGAAAACACACTTGCCCTCCGAGTAAAGCTGTCAGCTGTCACCTCAGTCTCTCCACAGGGAAGTGAATGGGAAGACATTTCAGGCCTAGGCCATCTTACCAGCAGATTTCTTGTGTTTTATGAGGCTTAAAAAAAAAAACACCCCCACTGCCGTCAAGTCAGTTCCAACTCACAGCAACCCTGTTTAGAGTTTTCCAGGCTGTAAATTTTACAGCAGCAGAAAGTTGCATCTTTCTCCGACGGGATGACTGATAAGTTTGAGCTGCCGGCCTTGAGCTTAGCAGGCCAGTGCTTATCCTACTCACCAGCAGGACTCCTTTGTATGACCCTATGATCATAATACTACTTGCTGCTGTTGTCTTTATTTTTTTTCTTTCTGATTATAAAGCAGTAATCATTGTAGAGAATTTAGAAAGCCGTATAAGAACAGCTGGTAACATTTGTTTGGTAGGTGTCAGTGCTGGTGTTTTTAATACGGTTGCATACAATACTATACATTCGGTTTTATATCTTGCTCTTTTTTCTTAACATTTATCTTGAGGTTTTACCATTATCATTGGTTTCTTCCTGGCAATCATTTTAAAAAATGTTCAGTAAATCATCATGAATATATGCCAGGATCAGGGCTTTGAACTGGTTCATTCTGGTTCAACGCCCTGCTGAGAAATTGCTTCTCCACCCCAGATGTACTGAATCTGCATCTGGGATGGCAGTGTAAATTCTCAGCAGAGCTCAAAACCAGGATGGACCAGTATCGCCTGTTTTCTTGGAGTCCTGTTTGAGGTTGAGGTTCTGTCCCTCCATTGTTTGTTGTTGGTGCTATAATCACATGACTAGATGTTGTGGGGAGAGCCCGCTCTGCAGTCGCCCCAGTTGGACCCTTTGCGGTCCTCGCCCACTGCCCTGCTCCTGTGCTCTCTGCAGTGACCTCTGTGACCTCACGTTGTTAAAGCCGCTGTGGAAGCTCTTCACCCACATGGAATACAGCCTGTGTGAGGACGGCACGCGGCCCGGCATCCTCCTCCCCCTGCACCGCGCCCTCACTGAGCTCTTCTTTGTCACTGAGAACCGTGCCCAGGTGAGGACCCCCTGGCCTCTCCTCCCCTGCCCCAACGGGGCATTAGGTCTTGGGGACTAACAGCTTAGCCCACAGTCTGAGGTCTTTGCCTCTCCCCAGACTGGGAAGTTCTCAGGTCAGCACCAAGCCTGTGTATTTGGTCTGGCTTAAAGCCAAAAGGGGAAAACCTGCTTTGGACCAGCCCTTAACAACAGTGAGTTTTGGAAAATAAAGCCAGTAGGTTCTTTCTTCTTCCTCCTCGTTTTTTCCTTCTCTTAGCACAATGGACTCATTGATTGTGAGAGATGAAAGGGCTTTTCAACATTCTTTAGTTCATTCCCCTCTTTTTACACGTGAGGGAACAAATCTGAGGGGAAGGGTCCCTCTCTAGTTACCTGTGGGTCAGTGAGGAGCAGAGTCAGACCCCAGCACCTGGCTCCCAGCTCCTTCTGTGGCTCTCCCAATGAGCTGGGCACTACTTACCTACTCGAGGCTTTGGTTTCTTCTTTTTAAGTTGTTGTTGTGAAGTGCCGTTGAGTTGGTTTTCACTCATAGCGACCCTGTATAGGGTTTCCAAGCAGCAGCTGGTGAGCTTGAACTGCCAACCTTGCAATTCAAACGCTTTGCAGTTCAGAGCATTAACCCACAGCGCCATACCAGTACTCCCCTTTTTAAGTATATGGGATTATATATGCAGAAAATAAGAAGCTCTGGTATCGTAGTGGTTATAAGCCGGCCTACTAAATAAACCTCAAGGTCAGCGGTTCAAAACTCCCAGCAGTTCTGTTGAAGAAAGATGAGGCTTTCTTCTCCCGTAAAGATTTACAGCCTCGGAAACCCTGTGCAGGGTCACTATGGATCGAAACCAATTCGACAGCACTTAACAACAACAACAACAACATACGGAAAATAGTTTGTAAACTATTATTATTAAGTGCCATCGAGTCAGTTCCAGCTCATAGCAACCCTGTATAGGGTTTTCAAGGAGTAGCTGATGGGTTTGAACCACCAGCCTTGTGGTTCGCAGTCCAGTGCTGACCCTGCAGCACCACACCTGAAGTCCTCGTAAACTGTGCATGAGAACTTAGTCTTAGCAAGTTATCACTTTTCCATATTTCAGTCCATCATTCAGATTTTAACAAGTACATTTCTTTGTATTATTTTATGAATACTTGAGACATGTCTTAAATGTCTATTTTCTTGGGTGAGGGTGTCTGAGTATTGACTGTTAGCTTCGCTTTGCTTTCTCTGCAGGAGCTTGGCTTGCTGCAGGATTACCTGCTGGCCTTAACCACCGACGACCACCTTCTCCGGTGTGCAGCACAGGTACGCTGTCCCCGACCAGAGCTGCTCCCTTGGCAGGGTGACACCCAGGGCCTCTGTGCATTGAGTCATGAGGGCAGAATCCCAGTTTATACAGCCCTCACTTCCAGTTCCGTCATTTCCTTCTGGCTTCCAGAGCGCATTGTTAAGTCCCATTTATCAACGTCACACTCATGTTAAACTGTGGACTCAGAAGACGCTAGCAAGAGATTGTGTCTTTAAAACCAAAACAACCAATGCCTTAAATTTACAGTTTGGCTGATTCCTGAAGTTTCCATAGAGTTAGCTTTCAAATGTTTTGGATCTACTTTGCTTTCCAGGTGGGAGATAGCTGCTTCTGACAGCTGTTTGGTCTCAGGACCCCGTTTATAATTTTAAGTTATCAAGAACTTCATAAAGCTCTTGTTAACCTACGTTACGAGAAGTCTTTTTAAAGTTCATGGAAAAATGGAATTAGAACGTAATATTACCTTTCTTCCATGAACTTTTTGAAGCTTCCTTGTATATCTAATGATATATACCATATTAGAAATTAAAATGGAGAAGAATTTTTCACATTTCTTTCTTTTAGAATCACAATAACCTGTGTCTGCCTTACTAGACACTAGCTGGCCCCTGGCCTGTCTCTGCCTGTAGCACACTGCATTAGACTCTGGAAGTACCGCTGCACACTCGTGAGACAATGGAAGTGCAAAGGCACAATCATGTCTTAATGTTCCCATGAAGATAGTTGTTACCTTATGATCCCCTGAAAGGGTCCTCCCCCCTGCTCCAGACTAGACTTTGAGAACCTCTGACTTCCAGTACCCCTGAATATCAGCCTGTGTGGTCTAACCTCACATTGGAAGATGGGGACACTGAGGCCAGAGAAGGTAGAGATGCCCAGGTCCACCTCAGAGGGCCCTGAACTGGAACTCCCAGCCAGAGCCCTGCCTAAGCCCACTCTATTCCTCTGTTTTCTCAGGGAGCACCCTGTCCCCATGAGAGGGCGAGCCTTTTAGAATGACTGCTTCAATGTGGCAGCCCCCACACCAGATACACATGACTTAGTGTGAATTCTCTTGCGACCTGGAAGCCGAGGGAAGGCTCCCTTCTCTCCATACAGATACCTACTTACATTGCCACCATCCCCACTGACTTGTTGGCCTCAAACAACTAAACTTTGAGACTTGGCAATTTAGGCACAGAAAGCTCAGCATAAGAGCATCCCTGTGGGCTCTTCCCTTCCCCAGCCTTCATGTCTAATCTCTTACCTCCTCAGCCTCATTCTGGCCTTCTCACAGCTGATGTGAGCGGGCCAGGTTCCTGCCACCCTCCACTGCCATCCCTAGCATGAAAGTCAGACTCAGCCTGCCCTCCTGGGCGTCCACATCCCTGGAACTCCCCAATATTGTTTTGCAGCCCCTCTGAGGCCATGCGCTCATCCATCTCCGTGGGCCCCTTTCCCTAGAGCTCTCCTGCCTCCCCCCGCCCCAGTCTCCGAGTACCTTTCACTTTAAGCGACCCTCCCAGGCACTTCTTGTCTCGCCTATCCCTGGATGCTCGGCTGTGGGTCTTGTTCAGTCAACACTTAGTGAATGAGCACGTATATGAATGGTTCTTGGCGCTGCAGTTTTTCTCTTCCCTCCCACAGGCTCTGCAGAACATTGCTGCTGTCAGCCTGGCCATCAACTACCCAAACAAGGCCACCCTGCTCTGGAATGTCGAGTGTTAGCCCATGGTACGGCGTGCATGACTGCTGAGCTGTCCGCAGACCTCTAAGCTCATTCAGGAAAGTTCCCCAGGAGCTCCCACTTCCACTCTGATTAGAACACAAAGCAGCCACGTCTCCAAGAGCAGCTGTGTCGCAGACTAGCACACACGCAACACCACAAGCTGAGCTGTGCAGACATCCGAGGAATGGCAGCCTTCTCCAGGTCTGTCCACACAGAGGGCCCCGGAACACCTGGAAGCAGCCTCACTGGGCAGAGTGTGGTCTCGGTTGGGCTGCCACCGCCTGCAGGTCCCTTCAGGTGAAGACGGAGTCAGTCCCGAGGCGCCTTTCTCAGCAAGACCTACAGCAGCACAGACCTGGCATGGGAACTGCCGTTTTGCTTTGCTTCTTGAAACCGAGTCATCCAAACCAAAACCTAGGAGACCCTCCTGAGCACTACCTGATCCCTAATCTTACCATATGGACCATGCTGAGCCAGCACCCGTGAGGCCCGGCCCGAACAAGTGCCCTTGGGAACAGCCAGCTGCCTCCTGTGTACATGCCTCCCTCAACCCTGGGCACTGGAATACGTTTTAGTTTGCCACCCACGGTTTTACAACAGAACCACACCAACACCCTTGAGAGGGCCTCGGGGGGTGGCCTCAAGGGTGGGGACAAGCTTGGTTGGTGTGAAGGTAGCAGATCTTGACAGATGCTTTCCAGCTTCTGTATCTGAAAAGAGGACTGTTGGTAGCACAGTGGATAAAGCACTCCACTAGATTGGGGTCACTGAATTGAACCCACCAACCTCTCAATGGGAGAAAAGATGTGGCCGTCTGCTTCCTGGGGAACCCTCCGGGGTGGTCCTACTCTGCTCAAGGGTCCTATGAGGCAGAATCGACTCAACGACAGTGGCTTTGGTTGGTTGGTGGTTGTTTTGCCCTAAAGACTTGAAGTGTTATCAAAGGAGCTCTTATTTTAGAACTTTTATAGAAACATGATTTTATTTCTGCTCGATGGTGGTTGGAACCATCACGCCCACCTCGGGACCCAGTGGTTATTGGGCTGTTACCTGTCTAGCAACAGCTGCTTTAGTTCTAACCCACGCATTTTACATTTTACTCTATGGTTTTAGTCTTGCCCTGAAGTGCTGATGAGGACTCTGTCCCCAAGCCCCGCTGTGGAGCCGAAGGCTGGCTGGCATATAGGCTGTGGGCAGCCTTGGTGGTCCCTGTTGGTATGAGCAGTACCTGAGGCAGCTGCACTGTGTTTGTGCCCACTGCTTGTCCCGCCACGCAGGACCAAGCCCAAGGAAGGGTCTTCAGAGCCAGGGCCAAGGCCTAGTTTGCCACTTGGCTTGTAGGTGTCTGGAATGGAAGGGTCCCGAGGCTGCAGACTCTAGGCACTTACTGAAAGAGTGTCTTTACCTTCTGAATCAGGAGGAAAGGTGAGGTCACCTGTACAGCCCTCAAATTCCATTCATAGCCAAGGAGACAGACCAGCAGGGAGGGTCCTGAGAGGTGGGGGCCTGAGGCCCACCATCCTGACAACCCAGCTGTACCACACAGCCTAGCCAGAGGCCCTAGGCCTGGCCTGTCACCATGTTGGGCCCTGAGGAGACAGATGCCGCCTACTCAGTGAAGCCCCTTTCCATCCTTTGCTCTTTGCCAAAACCAGCTTTGCTTTGCAAGCTGCCTGCACCCCCAGGAGAGGCCCCACAGCAACTGTAGCCCAGACCCCAGGAGGCTCCCCCAAGCAAGCTTTCCCCAGGAGGGAGACCCTAGGGAACAGGTATGTCTGAGGGAAGAGGTCCCAACTGTGGGCTCAGTGTCCCTTGCACCGCCTGAGCCATGGGGCTCCCTGTTTGTCCTCACCATGCGCCCCACACACACTGCGTGAAGGAGAGATGTCAGACCTTTGGGCTGTTGCAGCCAGCTCTGCTCCCACCCTCCCGTCAGGAAGGTAACTGTACATAAACACTGGGCTCCTCATCGTGTCTCTCCATTCCCCTCACTACTCGGGTCTCCCTGCGTCCCAACAGGTCTCTGTAAGGACCAGCATCTCGCTGTCCCTTCCTCTGAAGCAGGAATCAAGGTGTGGGTACATGTGCCTAATCTATAAAGACATTCTACTCCAGATCATATGTATTGTATAAACAAACACTGTTCCTAATGAGTGGGGCGACTTATTTTCATCATCGTTTTTCATTTGTTTTCTTACGGGTTTATCAATTTTGAATTTTTCTTATTTGGTTGAAAGAAAGAATTTTGATTATATCAGCTGGGTGAGTTCAGCTTGTAAAAAGGATGTTAAAATGTGAGTAAAATATGCAAATGAAGATAAATATATTGTACAAATTCTATATAAAAAGAGAACAACTGTGTGTGGACTTTTTTCCCTCCTTCCTCTTCTATGAAGATTACGTGTACTTGGAATTTCTACCAAGTGAAAAGGGACAGAATTTCTAGAATCTCAAGTCCTCGGGGTTGAGCCCTGTTCCATCCCCACCATGCCTGACTACAACTCCCAGTGAGCAAACACCATTTCCATCCCCCGCTCCCTCCTCAGGAGGGCCAGGGCCTCAGATTCAACCACTGGGCTTCCTGGCTCTCCAGAGAACTTACCTGTGTACCTCTCCCTCTGCACAACTTTTCAGAGGTTTGTACACACATGGTGTCCCCCGAGTCTGCTCCCCACTAGCTCCCCTGACCCCTCCCCAGGAGTCAGAATGTGGGTCTCCTGCTCATCCAGGGACTGACTGGCTTCTTCCTTCCTCCATGCCTGCCTTGCTATCCCTGGGTGTGCAAATGGGTAACATACTCCATTACTAGCAAAGGTTGGAGGTCCAAATTCTCCCCAAGGCATTTCATAAGAGAGGTTTGGTGGTCTGCTTCCAAAAAAAAAAAATCAGCCACCAAAAACACTGGAACACCACTCTGATACACATGGGGTGGCTGTGAGTCAGAATCAACTTGGCAGTGTCTGCTTTACTAATCTGACTACACTTGGGGCTGCTGCTGCACCGGCGCTCTCATCCTCCTCCCTTAGGTCTCTGGTTCGCCACTTACTGCTTGCTCCTTCCCACAGGTTCCTGCTGCCGAGGACGGAGACAGCTGCCATCTCTCACAAAGCAGAGGTCACATTTATGGGGCCGACCTTCCTAACCTGTGAAGCCCACTTGTTTGAGCCCGAGGGCTACTATAACAGAAATACCACACATGAATGGCTTTAACAAACAGAAATTGATTGTCTCTGGTTTGGGGACTAGAAGTCCAGATTCAGGGCACCTGCTTCAGGGGAAAACTTGCTCTTTTTGCCAGTTCTGGAGGAAGGTCCTTGGCATCTTCCCCTGAGTCTAGGAATTCCTCAGATCCAAAAGACATAGTCTACTCCTGACTCTTTCTTGGTGGTAGGGGCTCCCTCCTCTGCTTGTTTTATCCTGTAGATTTCATCCTGTCTCCAATCCTGACTCATTAACATAGGGAGGAGGATTTACAGCAGGATAATTACATCAGATCACAAAATGCACAGTAATTCTGTGATACTGAGAATCGTGGCCCAGCCAAGTTGACACATTATTTGGGATGGGGAGGCTCACAATTCAATCCATAACAGGATACATCTTCCTGAAGACCCCAGACTGCCTCCTAGTCCAGGGGCCTGGCCCAGCCCCTGCTCTCAACACCCCTGAGACCAGAGAGGAAACTGGTTCAGTGGGAGAGTCAGCAGAACTGTGTGCTTCCAGCTCCGTGCCACTGAGTCTTGCTCTAGCACCTGTTGCTAACATGCTGCCTGAGCCCTAGGGCTGTGCTGCGTGCCCTACACTGGGCACAGCTGTCTGGGCTGGAGAGTAGGAACAGGTGTGGAAAGTCACCTGCTGAGATCAATGCAGAAGATCACAGAAGGAAAAGATCATTGGAACAAGCGATTTTTAGAACTGAAAGAAAACTCTTCTGGCTGCCCAGCCTCCTCATTTGATAGAAGAAACAAGCTGTGAGGGTTCAGCTTGGAATCACCCAGGAAGTGGTAGAGCCTGAACAGCTCAGTCCTGATGCTGACCCCAAAGCTGCTACCACGGTGTGCAAGGCGTTCATTCACCTGCCAATGCCGACCAGCAGTGCACGAGGCTTTCGTGGGAACCACCAGCTAAGACCCAGACACTCAGGTCAAAAACTAAAGCTGGCAGACATTTGATTACCAAACTGCCATTTCCTACCCACTCTCATTCCCTGCTCCCAGAACCTGGCCACTCAGTCACTCTGCCAGGCAAGATACCCACCATGCAGTGCAGCAGGCAACCTGCCTAACAGGATAGAAATTCAGCACACAGAAGCAGAGACTTAAAACACAACTTATTTAAAAGCAAGAAGGTTAAATGGAAAAGACTGACCACAAGTATAATTTTGTTTTTGTTTAGGGACTGCCAAGTTAGTTCCACACGAAACACTACCTCTCATCCTACACCATCCTCACGATGGTTCGGTCTCAACCCATTGTTGATGCCACCATGTCAGTCCATCTCATTGGGGGTCTTCCTATTTTTCCCTGACCCTCCGCTTTCCCAACATGATATCCTTCTCCAGGAACTGGTCCCTCCTAATAAGATGCACGAAGTACAAGAGATGAAGTCTTGGCTTCTAAGGAGCATTCTGATTGTACTTATTATTCTCCAACACCATAACTCAAATGCAACTCCTTGTCTGCAGTCTTCCTTATTCATTGTCCAACTTTCACAGGCATCTATTGTTATTGTTAAGTGCCCTGGAGTTGGCTCCTACTCATAGCAGCCCCACATAGGCTTTCCAAGGAGCAACTGATGTGTTTGAACTGCCCACCTTGTGATTCAAACCAAATTTGACGTCAAGTGTGCATCCTATGGTGCCACACCAGGACACCACATGCATACGAGACTGTTGTAAATGCCATGGCCTGGGTCAGGCATCGTTTCTTTTAGCAAGACCATATTTGCCAGTTACTGAGCCTTCCTCTTTGTTTCCAACTTCCCCATTCCATTCACCAGG